CTCCTGACCTCAGGTGATCCACCCGCCTTGGCCTCCAAAGTGCTTGGATTACAGGCGTGAGCCACCACGCCCGGCCTCCTTATTTCCTCTACTTTTGTGTGATTTACTTTGTTTTTCTAATATTCTTGTTGAGATGGTTATTAAGCTTATTAAGTTCTCATTTTCTAGTATAAATATTTAAATACTGATAAGTCACATTTTTATAATATTTATTTCTAAACTTTCATTGTGATTTATTTTGAGCTCGGAGTTATATAGAAGTGTTTTTAAAAATAAATCACTGAATGGGATTTTAAATATTTTTTTTCATATTTAAAAGCTTTTGATTTGATTGCATCGTGATAAGATAATCTTGTGTATGTGAATTGATTTTTGAACTCTTTTGGTGAATTTGCATTATGGCTTTCTACATGGCCAGTTTATAAACATTCTTTCCATTGTTGAAGAATGTCAGCTCTTTAATGTTGAATGCTGTATATTTCTATGAAATCCATGTGCATAGTATTCTATGGATGACCATAATTTCTATATTTCGCGTTGATCATTTATTTGGTATTACAGACAGCGCTTATAAAAACTTTTTTATAGCCAGGTGCAGTGGCTCATGCCTGTAATCCCAGCACTTTGGGAGGCTGAGGTGGGCGGATCACGAGGTCAGGGGTTGGAGACCAGCCTGTCCAACATGGTGAAACCCTGTCTCTGGTTAAAAATACAAAAATTAGCTGAGTGTGGTGGCATGCACCTGTAATCCGAGCTACTTGGGAGGCTGAGGCAGGAGAATTGCTTGAACCCAGGAGGCGTTGCAGTGAGCCAAGAGTGAGCCATTGCACTCCGGCCTGGGCGGCAGAGTGAGACTCCATCTCAAAAAAACAAAACAAAAAAGAAAACAAAACTTTTTATGTCTGTCAGTGTAACCATGTGATTATATCCAGAGGAGAAATTCATTTTACTCTACTTTCAGAGTGTATGCCTTTTAAATTAGGATCAAGATTGATCTAGTTTATAATCTAAATACAGTGTGTGTTTTGTGCTTGCTGCCCTGTGTCCTTGTTCTGAGTATTAGCAAACTTAAGACTATTTTCCATTTTTAAAAAATTTAATTATTTTGTTGTTTTCTTTCAGGGAATGGAAAGGATTGTTTTCCATTCAATTATTAGGTTAAAAATTGCTGTTTTTTGCTGTCTAATTCGTTAATTATGAATGAGATTTACTCACCATTTATTTTTCTTTTGGAGTGCTGTCTATTCACAGTCACAGCCAATTTTTTTAAACTGAGCTGTTTGTCATCTTTTTTACTGCTATATAAAACTCCTCCTTTGCCACGTGTGGCACATTGACAAGGCTTAAGGTTTGCAAGTACTAGATAATTTTTATTTGACTTACTTCAAAATGTTGTTTGCTTTAGAAATGGATGATAGACCTCGAAGAGATCATTTCGTGAAAAGTGGATTTGCCTCTGGGCGGAATTTTGGAAACAGAGGTAAGCATCTTTGTCTTTCCTTAATCTGCTGAGCTGTTGAATAATAGGATGTATAGAGGTTTTCATGGCCGTTTGGTACAAAACTAAGTCTGTTGTAACACAGTGTATATTAGACTTTGTGTTGAGATAATGAGTTCATCATTTTTCCAAGTTCAATTTTCTTTTTGCTGAGTTACCTCCTTTTTGGGACAGAGAGTAGTGTTAAGTTGTTCAGACAGATTGGTTGGATGGATAGATAGGTTGGATGGACAGAAGCTTCACATAGCTGCTGCTTTCTTTTTTTTTTTTTTTTTGAGATGGAGTCTCACTCTGTCTCCAGGCTGGAGTGCAGTGGTGTGATCTCGGCTGACTGCGACCTCTGACTCCCTGGTTCAGGTGATTCTTCTTCCTCAGCCTACCAAGTAACTGGGACTACTGGAACATACCACCATGCCCAGCTAATTTTTGTATTTTTTAGTAGAGATGGGGTTTCACCATGTTGGCCAGGATGGTCTCCGTCTCTTGACCTCGTGATCTGCCTGCCTTGGCCTCCCAAAGTGCTGGGATTACAGGTGTGAGCCACCATGCCTGGCCTAGAGCGGCTGCTTAACATGTTTATGATATTGATTTCCAACAATTGAGATGGAAGAATGTTTGTAAAAGCTTCAGGGATTAGAGATGAGAAGGACTCTTTCTTGAATTTTATATTTTTCAAGAAAAGGCAGTATAGGAAACATTTGTTGGCACATTAGTACTAATTTTTTAATAGTTTATTTTGCCATGATTGGAGTTTTAAATTTTACTTTTAGAACAACCACCTGAAATGACAGATAATGACACAGCCAAAAACCTTTCTACAGTCCATTTTTAGACTTAATATTAACATGCTAGAAATATTCTGCACTATATATATCTTATTATAGTGCAATAACATATTAGAACTTCAAGTTAAATTTATTTGAAAATTCATATGGTCATTCTTTTTCTCATAGGAGATGCTAGGGCTATTTAGTAACCATACTTGACACTTATTCTTGAATTTATGAGATGTTATTTTTTGAAACATTTATTGATATTTACAGATATTTTTGTTATGGAAACTAAAATTTGATGCATGATGTTTTATTTGACATTTGAAAAATTTACTCATTTAAATACAATGAACACAAATTTGAGTTTTATATTTTGACATGTTTCTGCCACTAATGGAAATAATTTATTCAAATATATACTTATGTTTTGGTTTTTAAGCCTGCATATTATGTAAGATGCATTGCTTATTTGGACCATGTAATTGTGTTAAGAGATTCAAATGAAGTTTTGTTAGCTACTACTTAACATTATATTTTATTATTACATTTAGGAACATATTTAGTATTTAGATATATTTTAAAATTATATTTAGAAGAGGTTATATGATATTTTGATACAGGCTTCTAAATATTGAATAAAACCTTTTTGAATGAGAAAATCATCACTGAGGCATATTTTTACCACAAATTATTTTCATGTTTTATGTTAAAATACACATAAAATTTCTGACTGAACTCTCAGTTGTTAATACTTAAAAAAATTAGCTTTATATTGTATATAACTTGGGACATTTGTAGACCCATGAGTATAACATTTTTCTTATGATTCTTCTAACATATAGTTCCAATCTGATTTTCTTTTCAGTAAAACTTGCTTAACTAAAAATGTGGGTTTTGAAGTTGACTCTTAATTGCTTAAAATATAATATTGACTAGCTTGTTATATCCTGTGAAGTATATCTGAGTAGCTTTGACTTCTTGAATCACACATCTTTGAAATCTGATGAAAACACTTTTATAGTGGGCATACACAATTTTACATGTGGTCTTAGGAGATACCCAGATCCCTTTTAACTCCTCTCTATGAGGGTATTACAGAGATGAGTAAGACAGTTCATAGGGATCACAGGGAATGCTTTAATTTTGTTCCCAGTGATAGTTTAAAACATCATTTTATGCTGTTTTGGATGCCTCTCCTGTTATTTTTGTAATTTTTTATTTCAAATAATTGTGCTTTTTGCTATCACATCTCTGCCATAGAGATTTTTAATTTAGTGGTAGAGAAACATATGGAAAGAAATACTGCTTTTAAAAGGTACAGATAGTATGCTGTGGGAATATGGAAGAAGGATAAATTATGACTGGAGTGCTAAAGGAAGACTTCACAAAATTGGTTTTTTAAAGAATGAAATGAAGTTTGGTAAGACAAGTAGGAAAGCAGGGAATACCATGCCGAAGGAACAGCATGTACAAAGATACAGAATATTAGGAGTTGACAGTGTGGAGTATTGGAGTTGTTTGTTGTGAATTAACATGTTGAGTGTTTAGAATTATGTAGTGAGAAACAAAGCTAAGAAGGTTAGTATGGGGAAATAGTATGGCCAAATGGGGAGGCCAGGAGGGGATTAGTAGTCAGTCTTAGGTTTTTTCCCCTATGTAGCCCCTTGTTTTAATTTTAAAAGTGGAAAGGTTATGAGAAATATAAGAAATAGGAAAATAAAAAATAGAGTTTAACAGGACATGAGTATAAAATTTTCAATAGCAATGACTCACACAGAGCAGAGTGTAATAGCTGGCTCTGTCAGGGTAAGGATTCAACATATAGAAAACTACGGAGCAGAATTTTTCTGATAGAAGGTCTCCAATATAATACTGACTAGTAGAAAACTATATTTCACCAGTAGTAGATTTGTTTTTATCTTGATATCATAATTTAAGAGTTTTTTTTTTAAGTCGCAGGTATATTAATTAAGTTTCTATGCTACTCTGTTTCCATTATTGGGAGTCCCTTTATGCCAAAAATTCATTTAATTCTTAGTTTTTGATGATGACACACTTAATTTTATATGTTAAGAATTTTCACTATCTGACCTTTTTTAGATGCTGGCGAATCTAATAAAAGAGGAAATACGTCTGCAATGGGTGGTTTTGGAGCTGGAAAGAGTTTTGGAAACAGAGGTGATTACTTATGATATCTTACAATCAAAACTTGAGTTTTTTTAAATAATTGAGTTTAAATACTGATTGACAGACATTCCATATTGACATTTGATTTTAAGGTATATATTCCCTAAGTGCCTTTACACCAAAGACTATTTTATTAAAATTTATTAAAAACATTTTTAAATTTTATGAAAGATTACTGATGAATGCTTTTAAAATTAATTCTGGAGACATGTCTGTATGCTCCAGAGATACATAACTCTTAGACATAGGTTTTTAAGAAATAAATTTGAGGACAGAGGGGAGGGACTCCGGCTGAAGCCGCGGGAGGTCCGGACACTGACGGCCATGGAACTTGCCGGTAATAGAGGACACATCTCTTAACTAGGTTGCTCTAAGAACTGATGCCTAAACCATCTCAGCATGGCCTATAGAGGAGTAGGTGGGGATGGCCATCCTGACTCAGCTACACTCTCTTGTGTTAGCCCTGGAAGTCTTTACACATGTAGAACCCGTACCCATAATATATGCATGGTATCTGACTTTTTCTACCCAAATATGGGAGGTGTGGAAAGCCACATTTACCAGCTCTCTCAGTGCCTGATTGGAAGAGGGCATAAGGTTATAATTGTCACCCATGCTTATGGAAATCAAAAAGGCATCCGTTACCTCACTAATGGCCTCAAAGTCTATTACTTGCCTCTGAAAGTCATGTACAACAAGTCTACAGCCACGACCCTCTTTCACAGTCTGCCATTGCTCAGGGACTGATTTGCTTAGTGGTAGAATACCTGAACTCTGTCAGAAATATCCAGATTTAAATTTCATAATTGGAGGAGAGGGACCAAAGAGAATCATCTTGGAAGAAGTTCGGGAAAGATACCAGCTACATGACAGGGTGCGTCTTTTGGGAGCTTTAGAACACAAGGATGTTAGAGATGTCTTAGTTCAAGGACATGTTCTTCTTAATACCTCCCTTACTGAAGCGTTCTGCATGGCGATCGTGGAAGCAGCCAGTTGTGGTTTACAGGTAAAAAGCATTAAGGGCATACATGGTTGGGGTTTCTGTATATTTTGAAAAATAATGAGACACATTCCATAATAATGTCTTAACTGGTTTTGATGATTATGGTGGAGCATATGTTCTTTCTTTCTTTTTAAGGTTGTAAGTACCAAGGTTGGTGGTATTCCTGAGGTGCTTCCAGAAAACCTTATTATTTTGTGTGAGCCTTCAGTAAAATCTTTGTGTGAAGGACAGGAAAAAGCGATTTTCCAACTGAAGTCAGGGACATTGCCAGCTCCAGAAAATATCCATAACATAGTAAAGACTTTCTACACCTGGAGGAATGTTGCGGAAAGAACTGAAAAGGTATATGACCGGGTGTCAGTGGAAGCTGTGTTGCCAATGGACAAACGACTAGACAGACTTACCTCTCACTGCGGCCCAGTAACAGGCTACATCTTTGCATTGTTGGCTGTTTTCAACTTCCTCTTCCTCATTTTCTTGAGTTGGATGACTCCAGATTCTGTCATTGATGTTGCAGTAGATGCCACTGGGCCACGGGGTGCCTGGACTCATAAATATTCTCACAGTAAAAGAAGGGGTCGGAATAGTGAGATATCTAAAACTAGGTAGAAGAAAGCCTCGATTGTGAGATTTTAAACATTTGTAATAGCTCTATTAAGACTGTGGAAAATAACCTTGGTTTGGGGGGGTTTTTGTTTTTTTAAAGTTAATTCAGTAAGTTACGCTACCTCTATATCATTCAATGTTTTCTGTTGAGGAAAGATAAAAACTTATGCAATTCCTGAGTGTAAAACTTCTTGCACTTATTTGAAATTTAGAAGACAACATTTAAGCCACTCAGGTATGAAATTTTTCAGACTACTGAAATCCCTGTAGCAGAGATGTTTAACATTATATTTTGAGAGCTTTGGGTGCTGAAGGGCCAAATGTTTTCTGGGCATTTTTTGGCCAGTTTTTAATGCTGTACCATTAGACACTCACCAGATGTTTACAAGTTTTCTTTAGAGAAGTACAACAATTATATGAACTATTTTAAGTCATATTCATATACATTTATTAGACATGTAAGTCATGTCTTTAAGCATTTATTAGGTTCACTCAGTAGGTGTTACATATAATTAACAGGCTCGTTGAGTAAGATAGTCCATCAGTTACCAGCACATTTTGAACAACTGCTCTGTGTAGAATGTTGAACTAGATGCTCCCTGCTGTTAAGGACCGGGGGTGTATTCACTCTTTGTTTACCATTCAGATGGCTTACTTAATCGTAGTCATGGTTGACATGAGATAGTTAAATATCCAACATGCCAAAAATGCTCATGCCAGTTAATGCCAGGAAAAAAATCACCGACACACTACTAGTACTTCTTTGATCCTATTGTATGCATTCTCCTGGATAGAGCCTTCATCTTCAGTTGTGTTTATGAAGATATTTTTTGCTTTTTAAATACTGGGGACCAAGATCACTGTTGATAGTGCAGAGAAGCCCTCCATATTTGTCAGTGCATAATTGAGTTTTCTGTAAATGCCTTCGTGTTTTCTGAGCAGAATGTATGAGGTATGCCATCCCAAAACCAGCTGCTACCCTGTCCTTTTAATGTAAGTCACTCCCCTTCACTGTGGCCTCGCTGATGTCTGATAAGTATTGTCAGTGTGCAGAAGACTTTACTTCAGAATGTTTTATTTATAGCAAACCAAGTTGAAAATTTTAGGAACAGTCTTTGTGGGTGTATGTTATTAACTGTAATTATTGTTGCCCAGAGCCACGGGTTTTTTAACCCCAAATTATCCACATGGTGTGTATTATTAATTCTTTGAACTCTTGAGGTTTTTGTGAGAAAAGAACTGTGAATTCAAAATAATGAGGCACTTATGCGTGCACTACATAGATTCTGACAGTGTTGTGATTCTGTATAGGATTTTTTAAAATAACATTCACAAAATTTATTACTTTTTAAAAAATAACATGCCTATTAACTGGTTGCACTGATATAAAAGAAATATATTTGTGTTCTGTTTGTACTAAAACGCAAAAGCAAGAGTGCAATTTTTAAAATCTAGAAGTTAGGGATTCTTTTGTTGGGGAAAAATGGACTGATCTAAACCATTCAGTCTTACTGGGATTTTTATGCATAGAAACTCACATATAAACATGAAATAAACAGTGCCAATATTCATGNGGAAGTAAATTTGTTTTACGTAAATCTTAATTTTCAACCTTCCTGGATACCTTGTCACTGTCAGTGTTGAACTGGTCAGTATGTGGAAACACATTGCTCCACCTTGCTACTTACGTTGATTTTAAAGTGAATTTACAGTGATGAGAAATTTGTGAAAAATACATGGTATTTCTTTTGATGTTTCAAAAGGTTGCCCATGAAAAACTGATTTGTTAAAACATGCTACATGTCCAAAAATAAAACCAGAATGACATTTTGATAATTTTCTGCGTTTGTCTTATTTTATGAACAGATTATTATTTCTAGTGGAACAGGCTGTCCCTGCCCCCGACACTTTCTTTTTCAGTGCAATTTGGATGTGTTGCTTGGACTATTAGTAAAACAAGAAATACCCTTTGGGTGATGAATTACTCTGTCATTTTTTGTTTGTAGAATATCTGCTCTCTCTTACTTACGGAATAGCAAGTTCAATTGTGCCTTTGTTTCCTTACCCAAATAAGCCCTTGTTTTTCACTGCCCTAGCATTATCACGTGAGACAAAAAAAAAAAAAAAAAAAAAAAAAAAAAAAGAAATTTGAAAGCAAAATTTAATGACTTTTTAAAAAAGAGTAAACAAAAAATTTCATGTTATTAAGCAGAAAATCACTCAGTATTGGATTATAATTTAGTTGTATTGTCTTTAACAGACGAAGAGATTGAGTTTGTAAAATGTTAGGAATTTTGATAGTTTGAAATAGAAAGCATATAGTGGTTATACTGACATATTCCTCTATTTTGCCCATGTGCGTATAGAGGAGCATATAACAATTGAGGTAATATAGAATTGGGTGAAAAGAAAGTTGTTTTTAATCTTAAAAGAAGGGAGTTGATAAATTGACACAAAGTAGAAATTGTTGAGTGAATTTATACGTGATAACTATATATACAATTGTATATGGCTTATCATAGTAGTCCCTGTGTGGTGGTGATTATTTTTTTAACCACAGAGGTACAGGAAATTATTTCATTTTATATTTTGTATAGGTTTTTCAAACAGCAGGTTTGAAGATGGTGATAGCTCTGGTTTCTGGAGAGGTAAGGTCAATATTTTTGTGTTTTAAGATTTAACGTCAAAAGTACATGCTTAAAAAGAGAAATTAAGAGCAAGTATTTTAGTCTGGTCTAATTCTAACTTATTTAAACCAGATTTTATGAAGCAGCTATATCCAAAGCCTTAACTAAGGATATTACTGGTTTGTACATAAAGAATTCAGGCATCCTAATTTGGCCTGTTGCCATCTGCCTTAATCTATGAGGTACAACTTTTGAATGCTCTGAAACTTAAGAAAATGTGGACAAATAGTAAAAAGAAGTAGTCACGAATTGAAACTTCGCTATATATAAATACAGTTTATGATGTGTTAGGGTCATATTTCAATTCAAATAAATCTAAGAAAAAGTTTCATGAGAATGTAAATCAATGCTGAAATTAAAGACATTTCCATCGAAGGTACTGACACTCTGCAGGAATATAGAGAATGATGAAAATAATGTTACCAGAAGATGGACTACCATAAACAGTGCATTCCCAAATCTGATTGAGTAGATTTGGGTGAGGCTTTGAAGCCTGTTTTAAAATCATCTGTGGTGATTCTGATACCTCCTTTGGTGTAACCATTGATGTATGAAATCTTTATAACAGAACATTTTAGGGTGCCAAAATTGGCTTCATGTCTCTGCCTGGCTACCTGCTAGTTGAAGTAGAACAAGTTAATTTTTCTAAGCCAATTTTCTATTCCACAGAATGGAAGGTATTCATTTTATAGGTGGTTAGGCAGACTAAGTGAGAATGCATGTAAAAGCATATAGCTCAATACCAGATACATTCATGATAAACACTCAAATGCCATCTATCTTTCTTCATTAAATATTTGAAGCTTGATCTTTTTATACACTTTGATTCCCAAAGTCAAAATCAAGCCTAGACCTGATCACCTTAAAACTCTTTTGATATAAGGTGGGATTTTAATTATCAAACGAGATTGTTTCTCCATACTACCCCCAGTCTCTCTCCTTGCTTCTCTTGTTTTTCTCCTAATTCAAATGAAAACATATGTGACATAGAAATAGTATTTGTGAGAGAAGAAAAATACCATCAGTTTTACTCTTTTCCATTTCTATTTGTTTCTATTCTGATCTCTCAACTTTTAACTCATTTAATATTCAAGATCATTTCTACTTATACAAAGACCTTTCTACCCACTTGACTCCTTTCTAGAGATGGTGGACCAGAGAGCTTTTGAATACAAATTCTCACAACATTTGAGAGAACCTCTCTCCAAAGTGACCTGCTTGCTTTCTTCTGGTCTACTTTCTTCTTTTTTCATTCTTAGTTCCCCTAAAATAAAAATTAAAAAAAAAAAGATATTTGGATTGAATTCTTTCATTCTTTCAAATTGCTAATAAGCCCAGGTTCTGAGCTCATAGTAGAAGCTTTTTACTCTGCACACAAATGAATAGAGTGTTTTTAAGTTTTTTCTCCTGTAATCTGTTTTCCTTAAGCTGGTATATTGTAGTGAGAAGGAACTCAGATATTGGATTTGAACACCCTAGGTGTGAAACTTAGATCCTCCTCCTTAATTATTTTGAAAAAGCATGTAACTTGCTGTTTTTCATTTTTCCTACTTATAAAATGATTATTATATCAACTTCACAAGGTTTTTGTGAAAATTTAAAAAGTTAATACATGTGATACAATTAAAACAGTGCCAGGCACATACTTTCTTTATGTGTTGTTATTTTTATATCATTAATAGGTTGTAACTAATCTTGGGATCATTATCTCATTTTTGTTTGCTTAGCTTTATTTCCTAACTCTTAGAGATCACTTCTTTTTTAAAATATTTTTTTTATTTTGACATAGTTTGATTTATAAGAAGTTGCAAAAATAGTACAGAGGTTTTTCATGCACCCATCACCCAACTTCTCTTAATGTTTTCTATGTCTATTCCCAATGTGATCAAAATAACTATAGGTTTATTTTAGGGAAATAATTGGCCAAAGATACTGTGAGACTCTTCCTTGCCGGGTTCTAGATTAATATTTTTTTTTCTCTAAGGCAGTAAATATTAGTGATCATCATCATTACTCCAGGGCCAACTTTTGTAAAATTCTTTCTTTCCTGCCCTTCCCTTCTCCACTGTATTAAGTCCTACTTTCCAGAAAGTTATCTTGTTAATGGCTCTTTAGTATTGTTTGCCAGTTGTCAGCTACAGCTCAAATAGAAGCTTGCAACAAGAGCTTTGGGTCACTGTTTATTGTAGAACAATATTAGTTGTTAAGTGGATTGGGACTTTTACACAGGAACTTAGCTAATAGCCTGCAAGCTGTTTAGTGACTTGCTCTCATTATTATGACTTAATGTTCCCAGATATTAAATATTAGTGACATGTACAAAGCTTCCTTGAAACCATCTTTGTATTTCCCAAATGTGACTTTTTTGGAATCTTCTGGAAATCTTGATGTTATAGTAATAACATAGAACTTTTAAATTGTGAAAAATTATTCCTTTTAGAATAAACATTTCTGGGAATGGGGCCTAGGAATGAATGAATGAATGAATGAATTCATGTCACCCAGGCTGGAGTGCAGTGGCATGATCTCAGCTCACTGCAACCTTCACCTCCCGGGGTCAAGCGATTCTCCTGCCTCAGCCTCCTGAGTAGCTAGTATTACAGGAGCATGCCACCACACCTGGCTAATTTTTGTATTTTTCGTAGAGACAGGGTTTCACCATGTTGGTCAGGCTGGTCTCGAACTCCTGACCTCATTATCTGCCCACCTCTACCTCCCAAAGTGCTGGGGTTACAGGTGTGAGCTGCTGCAGCCAGCCTAGAAATTTATTTTTAGCCAACTCTCCAGGTAGTTTTCAGGCAGCCTTCAGTATAGTAATCACTCATACCACTATTTTAAAACTCTGGGAATGTTACATATTAATATCATTAAAAATGGAGAAGCTAGGATATCCTCAGATTATTTCATTATGATGAATGAGGGAAAGTTTGCATATATTTAAGAAGGCACAAATGTCTCAAGTTTATTAAGAACAGTAAATTGGCCAGGTGTGGTGGTTCATGCCTGTAATCCAAGCACTTTGGGAGGCCAGGATAGGCAGATCACATGAGACCAGGAGTTCAAGACCAGCCTGGCCATCATGGCAAAAGCACATCTCTACTAAAAATACAAAAATTAGTCTGGCATGGTGGCGGGTGCCTGTAATCCCAGCTACTCAGGAGGCTAAGGTGGGAGAATTGCTTAAACCCAGGAGGCAGAGGTTGCAGTGAGCCGAGATCACACCAGTGCACTCTAGGCTGCACAGCAGAGCAGACTACATCTCTGGAGTCAAAAAAAAAAAAAAAAAAATTACACAAAATATATGACATTATAAGTAGAACAGTCTAGTGGTCTGTGGACCATATTTGAGAACCACTTGATTACTTGATAGTTCAGCTATTCCTGAAATCATTTTTGGTCAAACTGAAATTTTTTGAAATTTTTAATTTTTTTTGATGTTTTTTTGCGTAGTATAATGCTTGGCAAATAGTAGGTTCTCAATTTAATATAATAAACATTTAATATCTAGATACATGAGATGATTTGTATAGGGAATTGACTCTGAGTAACGTCTTTATGTATCTGTTGTTAAAGTTATTTGAAGAAATAAAATTTTTACATTTTAACTTATGAAAATATTTTATTTTCTTACTAATTTACCTTGTGACAGTGCTATTCTTTATATATTGCATCAAGTTAATTATTTAAATGCTATTTACATGTTAAATTTTTATTTAAGAATCTAGTAATGACTGTGAAGACAATCAAACACGGAACAGAGGGTTTTCCAAGAGAGGCGGTAAGGACCACATTTTGGAACAATTTGTATTTAAGACAGAGATACTAAACTGATAAAACTGATTTTGAAAGAGCTGGATGAAAAATTCTGATGGCAAAAACCTTTGA